AAGAATTGGTCTGTTTTATCTAAGTCATCAGACTTGAATTTGTAGAGTTATTTGTAGCCCTCTCCCATTGTCCTTTTGATTTATTCATGGATACTGCAATATTTCTGTTTTATTACTAATACTACTAATTGATAAAGATGTGTCAATTTTATTAATTTTATTTAAAAAAGTTCTTTAATAGAGTGTTGATATGGACCTGCAGTCCCACCAGCTAAAGGGGGTTGAGGTAAAAGGGCCACAAGTTCAAGGCCAGCTTAGGCAATGTAGGGAGGCACTGTGCCCACACAGAAAACAAACCAGCTCTTCATTTCATTGACTCTTATTAACAGTTTTACGATTTTCAACTTCAGCAAATTCTTCTTACCTCTATTATTTCTTTCATTCTGCTTGCTTCAGATTTATTTTGTTCTTCTCTTTCAAAGTTCCTGAAGTAGAACTTAGGTAACTAACTCAAGACTTCTTTTCTAATGCACATAATTAGTGCTATATATCAATTTGTCTGCCAAGTATTGCCATGAAAGAAAATGAAGTCTTGAAAAATTCCTTTTATGACAATAAAGACCATAAATATAGAGGAATAAATCAATAAGAGGAAATATATAATCTTTTGATGAACCTTAATGAATAAGTGGACAGAAGAACTGTGCTAACAGAGAGACCCAATATCATGAAGGCAGCACTTTCCCCAAATCAGCCCTATCCACTGCAATGAGAGTCAAATACCATGCAGCTTCAAGACTTGGACTGCTGAGACAGCTTCATAAATGGGGCACTTGCCACCAAGCCTTACCACCTGAGTTTCATCCTCAGTGCTCACTTTGTAGAAGAGAACCAACTCTTCCAAGTTTTTCTCTGACCTCTGCATGCACATCGTGGCACTCACACATACACACACACACACACACACACACACACACACACCACATTCCACGTTTAATAGGTGTTTATTGCAACTACTGTTTCACTCTCATCAGCTTAACACAAAATTTAATGGAAAATATTTCTTTACACAGACATAAGAAAACTTAATCTCCAAATCTACAGGTGGTACCATAAATAGGTAATACTGTGATAGTTGTAATAATTACTTTTCCAGCTACTCAGTTTGATAGTGCATGAAAAAATTATTACAGAATATCAGTGTGATGAAATGAAAACTTCCCAAACTTTCAGAGCATGCATGGGAATGGTAGACTCCAAATCCAGGGTACAGTTTACATTTCAGGAAACAAGACAGGAATGAGATTAGGGAGGATTTCCACAGAGATTAAGTTGTAACTGTAATGTCCTACTTCTTAGAAATCTATCTGGTAGATCTTTAAAATTACCATGGCTTTCTGTGCCAGCAGAATCAACCAACAGAGAAGAGTTTTCAGTCAGCAATTATCATACTTAATGAAACTCTTATAGACCATTTTACTACCTGAAGATAAATTTGTCAGGTGAGATAAGTGCTGTAGAGACAGATAAGTTAAACGGCTCCAAGAAGGCCTAGTTTTGAACAGATGTTGCTTTCTTATGCGTGGGCAGAATAAGCTTGTTAATGGAGTAAGACTGTTTTAGTTGGAAGAGACCCCCAAAGAGAGGCGTATTTTACACATTCTAGGGGCAAGAACATCTGTAGACTGCTGGAGCAGTGTAGAGGAGGGGTGAAGTAGTAGGGAAAGAGAAAGAAGGGCAGAAGAGAAGAGAGCTTGAACTCTGACTAATGAGACAGGAAGCCTCTGAATGATTATGAGCAGAAGAGAAACCTAATTTTACAAGAGTCACTTTGACTACAGAGAGAATATGCCAATTAGCCATTCCTTATTTACTATATGGAGACTGTAAAGAAAACCCCTGTGAACTAATCCATTATATGGTAGTTTTATAATGTGCATGTGTTTGCTTCTCACTGAGCACAGTTAAATACAATCACATCTCCCATTTTACTAATGAAGAAAAAAGTATAATAAACTGCCCAAGGCCACACAGGCATATATCTGAGAGCTCCCGGGTTCAAGTCTAAGCAGTTTGACTTTTATACATCTACTCATGTTCTGCTGCCTCCTACACTACTGGTGGCTGTGAAGGATGTAGGGAAGCAGATGGGAGTGTGTGCACCTTTAAACTATGACATTACATTAAATACAGATAACCAGTGATGAAATGCAAAGGATAGAATTGCAATAGAAATAAGGTATGTAAATAACTCCAGAGGTAAACTGTAGAACTCTTGTTGGGTTATTGATTTAGGGAGAACATGGCTTGTAAAAGATGTCTGAGGAGGTTTGTTCAAAAATACGGAAGAAATGGCAGCCATGTGCGAGCATTGAGGCTGGGTGAGAAGCAACTGTTCCCAGGTAAAATCAAATTTGAGTAAAATCAGGCATCAAAAAGAACATCAAGGTTTTTTGTTATTCTGGAGAAAACTGACCTGCCAACGTGACACAGTGCTGTCAAAGTGGATTCCTTAGTGTTTTGTTGTCAGTTTGCTGACTTGAACTGGGTTTCACAGATCAGTTCCATTTGGAAGGAAGGTATTTCTGCTTGCAGTTTAAAATACTTCTTTTCCTCTTCAGTATTTACACTGAGTAACCCAATTTGGAATTATTGTGTCACATTTTCCAACTTTCATCCCCCTCACGAAGCAGTAGTCAGGAGGAACGCGAGTGATGAACATTAGTGGCCGAGTGTGTGGTTACAGAAATCAATAAGCCACAGGATGCTTCAGATTCTTAAACAGTTTTTAAAAAGTGTGAGGACACTAGGTGGAATCCACATAAGAGTGATTGTCTAAAACTGGCACTCAAAATACAAGGACTCGACTTGTAATTAAAGCTCCTTGTCCTGTTTTAGTGCCTTGCTTCACACATGCATCGTGAGAAAATCCATAGCCGTGACCATATCTGAAGGTTTCACAAAATTAATGTTTTGCAGACAACATTGCAGTTTTGTAAGGAAATAAATGTTGTCTCTTATGTAAATTATAATTGCAACAATGTTAAACAGTCTTGAGTACAGATTAAAGAAAGCCTCAAGGCTTAGGTTTTAAAACTTGAAACCAGTTCATGTGGATCTTTCCAGTCTCTTGTGATGACACAAAGTATCACAACCTCAAAAATAATTGTTTAGGATTTGTATTTTGAATTTTATTAAAGTTACTTCTTGCCCCTGGCTTGTTTTTTTTTCAGTTCATCTTAATATCTTCCATATTTCATTGCATAACTGCGAATGATAAACATTTATTGTAACTTATTTAGTTGAACCTTTAATTGAGCAAATGTGGCCTGTACTCTGTGAATTCTAGATTAGCTAAATGAAAGAGAAACCTGGGGAATCCTGACAATGTTGCCAGTTTAACACTCCCCCTATTTTTATTCCTTCCATCCAACTTTTATCTATGCACAGCTAATGCAGTTAGCTTAGAGGCGTAAAGTAAAAGGAAGTTCTCAGAAATAATAAAAAAAAGAAATAAAACTTAAAATCAGAGGACTTCTGCATTGCTTTAGGAATGAGGTATAGAGCACATGACAGACTGGAGGCATGAAACAGGAAACTAAAGCAAAGACACCAGCTCCAGAATTTTTGAGGTGAGCTGCATAAAGAAGACTTTTAATCAGAAAACTCAAAGTGCAGCTGCCTGTACCTTCAGTGTTTGGAACCAGCAGCGCTCCAGCCTGTACAAGCTGATGCTGACTGAGTACTCACTATGTAGAGCCAAAAAGGCTTTGTTTTTCCAGCTTTCTTAGTCCTCACAACTACAAGGCGTCAATGTTATTCTCTTCACTTTATAGATCAGCAACTAAGGCTTACAGAATTGAAATCAGCTGACCATGTTTCTGTACCTTGTGGGTACATGTGGTATTCAGTGCAGAGCAGGAGCATGTGGCTTTGATCACTCTGCCAAACCAGCTCTTAACATAGCAGTCCCATGTTTCTGTGTCCTGTAGAAAAACTGAAAGGGTTTCAACGTCCTATAGAAAAATAAGAAAGTCATTTTGTTTTTGGCATCAGTCTTTTGGAATGCCACTGTCTATTGTTATTATTGGAGGTCATTTGTGGAACTTTGTGGAGTAGTCAAGTCTCTCTTCTGACATAAATGTGAATCAGGTGGCGGAACACAGGCTCCTGGGCTTGTGCAGCATAATTTACCCACTGAGCCATGTGGCTGACTCCCAGCACTCATCTCAAAGACAGGGACTGCTCAAAGGAAGGGATGCAGCAGGACAGTGACCTTCCAAGCATGTAGCAAGAAGTTTCTGAGTTGCCTTCCGTGCCTGATTCACTGACACAAACAATGAAGGCTCATTTCACACATTCAGATAAATTCACTAATTACTATACTTAATAGTTTTAAAGATTAAAAACTTTAGAAGCTGTTTTTGAAATTTGTCTTCTAAAGAAGATTTTGGAAAAGTCTGGATAAAAGTATAAAGTTGTACACAGGCAAAACTAATGATATCAACTATGGAGATATTTACTATAAAGAAAATATGAGAATGTAACACTGAAGATTATCTGCAACAAATTTAAATGCTAGCAGTGACTGTCTTTGTGAATTAATTTGTATTTTCTGCTTTACTTTATTTTCAACTTTTCCCTCATTAACTTGTTTTCCTCGTTCTAATAGAAGTCATTTTTAAAACCTCATGAACTTGAATGAAGGAATTTAATTAAAGATGAATCCAAAGTTGATTTATAATTTTAATAGGGCGTTCTTATCTTACTTACAGATCCATCCAGGGCAGAGAAATACCTTCTACTTCTCTATCATTTCCTATAATACCTATTCTTGCAGATGGCAGGAACCTAATATGCTGTGACTAACAAAAGCCCTTACTATAGACTGTTGAATTCAGGGTCCGGGGAAGTGAAATTAAACTTAGAAAATTTCTAAGAATGTTCAAGAAGTTGTATAGAGAAGTGCACACTAGGAAATAGTGAATCATGAGCCTTCTAGAAGGTAGAACATCAGAAATGCCTGTCTCTGAGCATTCTGTTCCATTATTGTAACACTACTGCTATTTGTCAAAAGGAGCTCTTAGCAGCCCACTAGGCTTCCAAGAAGTATAAAGAGGATGGAAAAAGCAAGCATGGATGCTGTAAGAACAGAAAACTACAAACTAGTCTTTATTGTAATCATTGTATTTTTAAAATCCAAAACAAAATATCTGTTAGTTTGTAGAAATTATTGCAAATGATGATTGAGTGTGATAGTCTAGAAATGCCTAGGTAGTTTAACATTTCTAAGTCAATATAATGTACCTTGTCAGTCAAAGGAGAGACAGAAATTACATGATCATCTTGCTAGATTTTTTTGAATCTTTGGTAAACTTAAATACTATTTCACATTAAAAATCAGGAATAGAAAGGATTTTCTTAATCTGATTAAGGGTATCTACAAAAATGTGTAGCAGAATTGAAAGCAAGATTAGGGAGAATAGTCTTCCCCGGTGATGAGCCTGTTTATTAGTTACCTAATATCATATGGTCACCACAAAATCATGTACATATAAACAACACTAAGTGAACTCAGCATGTTGTACACACACACAAACATAATTGAAAAAATAATAAAATAAAACTAATAATTGAAAAAAAGGTCATGAATTTGAGAAGGAGTTGAGAGGGTAGGATGAGAGGGGTTTGGGGAAGGAGAAATAAGGGGTAAACGATGTAATTATGTTTTAATTTTTAGATACTTCAACAAGAAGATTAGATATCCACTGATATTACTTCTGTTCCACATGGGTGCTTCAGGTCTTAGCCATAAAAAGCCAATCAAAAGCATAAACATTGCCATTATTTACAAATTATCTATTAGCTTACATGAAAAATTCAAATGCAGGTCTAATCTTAATATCTTTGGGGTACAAAGAGCACAAAGGGTATATTAAAAAATTATGGATACCCTGAACCACATTAAAATCAAGAACTTCTGTTCATGGAAAGACTCCCTTAGAAAGAATAAAACAGCCCATACAACACAGATAACTGATGCAAATAAATAAGCCAGATAGCGCAATAGAGAGATCTGTAAAAAACTCAAACAGACCTCTATAAAGAGGTCACCTAAGTGGCAGTACCATCTGCTCTTTGAAAAAAAAATCATTGTTTTTTATTTGTTGAGAATTTCATGCAATATATTTTGAACATATCATTTTCCTTTTTCCAGATCCTCTGCCACCTCCCTACCCACCCAATTATATCTTCTTTTTTTCTCTTAAAACAATCCACCCCATACACCCAAACAAACATGAAGTTCAATTTGTGTTGGCTAACAATGCTTGAGCATGGGGCCTGCCTTGGAATGTGGTTGATATACCCAGTCACTCCACTGAAGAAAACCAGTTTTTCTCTCCCAGCAGCTATCCGTTTCAAATAGCTTCTTGGCTGGGGCTGGGAGTGTGGGTGGGAGTTGGACTTTGTACCCATCGATCAGGGTAATGTTCAGCCCTCATCAGAGAAGCTTCCTCTTGCAGTACATGTTAATTAAAACAGAACCCCAGAACTGGTTAGCATGCAGAGATTAAGACTTGGAAATGTTCAGCCCTAAATGGATTATCTGTATCACACAAGAGGCAGCAGAAAGACTGCAAAGAGCCAAAGGTGATGAATGATTTCAAGGAAACAGCATTTTCCGGACACAAGCAGACAGATGTCCATATGAGCTCACAGAGACTTACTATGAGAGCATGCTCAAACATTGCTCGGGCAAGACAAAATCCCAGCGTGCAGGAAGATGTCTGCTCTTATTAATCATAATAAAATACAAATTAAAACAGCTTGACTTATGAAAATACCAAGAGTTGACAAGAAAACAGCAGCTGAGGTTTTGGTACACTACCGATGGTGTGTAGATGTTAAATTGGTTAAACGACACTTGTGGAAACATGTTGGGCAATAAATACACAACAGAGCATATGTAACCAATGCCTAGTATTTCCACCACACTATATGTATACATTCCAGAGTGTTCATGCCCCATTTCTTTTCACAACCCAAATGTCTTTTGACAAGAGATGGGTAAATAAATTGTGTACAGTCACATAATGGAGCAATGGTGATGGGGGATGTCCTTCTGTATATATATAAGGCACTGATTGACCAGTAGCCAGGAGGCAGTGTAAGTGGGTCTACCATAACAGGAGAATTCTGGGGAGAAGAGGCAGAGAGAAGCCGCCAGGGGGAGACCATGCTGCTACAGGAGTAACATGCTAGATTAAGGGTAAGCCATAGCCTTGTGGCAATACATAGTTTAATAGAAATGGGCTAATAATTAAGAGAGAGCTAGCTAGTAAGAAGCCTAAGCCATTGGCCAAACAGTTTATATTTAATATAAGTCTCTGTGTGTTTATTTGAGGCTGAAGGGTGGCGGGACCAGGCGGAACAGAACCTCCATCCACATTAAGGCATGAGTCCAAACTTTTTCTGTCAATAACTGGATTGTAAATGTCTTTGTGATCTGACTTCCTGTCCCAGCTGCTCAGTTCCTATTGCTATAGTATGCAATCAACCCTGGAAAGTACTGAGGGAACAGCTTGACAGGGGTAGCCACCACCCCTTTTATTTACAGCCACTCAAATTTGAATTTTTTTTATAATTTATAGCATGTAGTGAAGCATTTTTGTAATTTTATAACATGTAGTAAAATGTTATTGTTTTATTTAAAAACAACTTTGAAACAGAAGTATCTTAGTCAGTTCACAGACATACAAAATCAAGGGACCAGGTTTGACCCTTTGGCCCTGGTTTGCTGATCCCTGCTCTGCATATGTGAGAATGAAGAAACTATAACTACATGCATCAATGTGCATTAGACTTACATAACTTTGAATAAAAGAGATACATACAAGATGTGCATATTGAATTATCCCATTTCTGTGAAGGTCAGAGGGAGGCAGAATTCATCTCTGATGTTAAAATAGCAAGATAGAGAACCTCCTTAATAGAGTTGGAAGTGACTGAACAGCAGCCCAGGAGGCTTCTGGGACACTGGGTCTTATGGATGCTACTTATGGAAATGTCTGGACCTACTGAAAACTGATACCACACATCTTTGCATTGCTTCACTCTTCAGCGTGTTATTTGAATAAAAACTCCATTAAAATGTAGGTTATTGATTATGAAAAATGGAAGAGAAAAGGGAGAGGGCCAAGAAGAAAACACTTTTTTTAACCTTTAAAAGGGGAAAGAGAGAAAAAGAATTTAAGCAATCAATGGTAGATAGTTCTAAAGGATTACTATAGGCATTTTAGATAATTTTGTCAAAGATAATGGGGCTGGAAAGATGGCTCAGTGATAAAGAGCACAGGCTGCCCTTCCAGAGGACCCGGGTTTGATTCCTGCACCCATACGGTGGCTCACGGCTGTCTGTAACTCCAGTTGCAGGGCCTACAATGCTTTTTCTGAACTCCATGGGCACTACACACACACACACACACACACACACACACACACACACACACACACACACACACACACACACGGTACACAGACATACTTGCTGGTAAGACACTCATGTAGCATGTATGTAAAATGAAAATAGATATTAATAAAAAAGATAAACAGAGCTCTAAAAATGAAAGATAGTCTGTGAAGATTAACTACGGTACTTTTATGGAATGGCTAGGATTTTTAAAAAACTCTTCTAATGATCTACAAGTGAATTCCTGTGTCTCTTAGAAATAATTACATAGGCGGACTTCATGGCTGAGGAAGTGCCCAGTGAGGGGATTACTTGCTCTCACTCACTTGTTTCTAGCATCTACCAGTGTCTCTAAGCACTGACATCTTCAGGTCCTGAAGTTATCACTCAACCACACTTGGGCAACCTTGAGAAGGTGAACCTTTTTATTATTAGGCTGTAGACCTGCAGTTTAATTTTCACTTTTTTACCCAAAGATTGCAATTTAAAAAATAAAAAGCCTACACTCACATGTTGTGTGATTTAAAGTATTAGGGGCTGACACTCTTCTTACCGGGGTATTTAGGGAAGAGTTAGGGATGGTAAGACCTTAATTAGGTTCTGCTACAGCAACCAAGGGGGCTCTATGAGATTTTATGATGATTAAAATGGAAAATATAGAAGGTAAAAAAAGCTGTTTCAGAACTAGAAGCCAAGAGGAATATTTTAATTTTCATCTGCCACTGAGCTTTAGATTAAGATAAATATAATTTGTACAAACTCTGACATGTTTGCAGAATGCAACAAATTTCTTTCTGATTGCTTTTTTTTAAATTCACCTGCATTGTGACATTACTGAGAATGTTTTAAAACGATATTCTTTTGTTTGAAACCTGCTCTGTATGTGTATGTCTCATCATCTGGAACTGTCATTTTCTTTCATAGCCCAGCACATATGGACCATCCCAAGCTGATATCTAGAATTTCTCGATATTAAAAACAAGCATTACCACAGCTACTATGGCTTTGATACCTGGTGTTATTTATGGGTTTTCATAAAGGGGAGGGGGCGAGAGGAAAAATATACTACTGTGTGGCCTCTCTACCTTCTTTTTCTCTACCCCCCTCTCCACAGCGGAGTTTAATTTTAAATGATAAATGTGGAAATTAGAGACCATCGAGAAAATCCAATTTGGTGAGGAGTTTTAAAAATCCCATAATAAACGCGGAGTGAAATGTATGATTTAATGCAGGGCGCCAATGGCTGCTATTATGGGCTATTAGCAAATCGGGGCTGAGAGTGAATCTTTATCACTTGGTGAATGCGGGTTAGGCCTGCCTTTCCCTCTGCTATTGATTTGTAGCCGCTTGTCATAATGACACTGGGAAGCAATGAATGGAAGATGGGCTTTTGATAGGATTCAGGGGGGTCTGGGTGGGGGGCAGAAAATTCAGCAAGTTTTCTATCTCTTCTGCCTGATTAGATTTTTTTCTTCTTTTAAGAGCTTTCACATTCCAATAAAAATGCTAAATCAGCACTGTGCCAGGATTGTTAGGGTGTAAATAGCTGGCTACCGTCAACGCAGGAAAAGATGCAGTATTACCGCCCAGCCTCTGCAGCATTGGGTGGACAGAACTTGATGGAAATGGAGTTGTACATGTGTGCAGGTGTGGCCAGGTGACAGCCGGATGAAG